GTAACTTGGATGTGGGTGTGAAGTGTACTCTGTCCAAGTTTGTGGATGATACTAAATTGTGGGGTGAAGTGCACACTCTGGAGGGTAGGGAACGATTGTAGGCAGACCTAGACAGGTTAGAAAAGTGGGCAGTACACAATAGGATGCAGTACAACAAGGACAAGTGCAGAGTGCTGCACCTAAGATGCAAAAATATCCAACACACCTACTGGCTGAGAAGTGACCCTCTCTGCAGCACAGAACCAGAAAGGGATCTTGGAGTCATAGTGGACTCCAAGGTAAACATGAGTCATCAGTGTGAAGAAATCATCAGCAAAGCTAACTGCACTTTATCATGCATCAGCAGATGCATGACAACCAGAACCAAGGAGGTGATACTTCCCCTCTATGTGGCATTGGTCAGACTGCAGTTGGAGTACTGCATCCAGTTTTGGGCTCTGTACTTCAAGAAGGATGTTGATGGACTCGAAAGGATCCAGAGAAGGGCCACTCATATGGTTAGAGCCTTACAGGACAAACCCTATGAGGAAAGACTGAGGGACCTAGACCTCTTCAGCCTCCACAAGAGAAGGCTGAGAGGTGTTCTTGTGGTCGCCTACAAATTCATTAAGGGGATGCAGCAAGGGATCGGAGATGCTCTGTTCACCAGGGCACCTCTTGGGGTAACAAGGAACCATGGTCACAAACTGACAGCAGATTTAAGCTTGATATCAGGAAAAACTTCTTCACGGTAAGGGTGGCCAAAATTTGGAATGGGCTTCCAAGGGAAGTGTTGCTCTCCCCTACCTTGCGGGTCTTTAAGAGAAGGCTGGATAGGCATCTGACTGGGGTCATCTGACCCCAGCACTGTTTTCTTCCTAAGCAGGGGGTCAGACTTGATCTGCTGAGGTCCCTTCTGACCTTAGCATTTATGAATCTGTGAAACAAGATCTGGGGATCAGAGGTATAGCTAGGCAGCTCTGTGTCCTGTGTGATTCCTGGGGCAGTGACAGCTTCCACAGTGCCAGCTGCAGCAACACAGTCAGCTGCCACTGCAGTTCTGGCTGTTTATGTGCTGCCTGCCCTCCTCCTCTCACCCCTCACAGAGGCAATGCCAGGGGTGGCTGCTTCAGCTGACCTCCTTTCCCCCCTAAGTTATGCAACTGCTCAGGATTCTTTTTTCTTTTTTAATTGGATGTCATTGTCAAGTCTCCGGGATTTAAACTCCAGTTTTGTGAGCCTCCCTGACCCTGCACAGGGCTCCCCTACTTATCTACCACGTCTTGCTGGAAAACTACTTCAAGGAGTACAGTGGTGTATACTTCTGCCTGGTTCGGGTAGTAACTCACATCTCCAATGCAGTCGACCGTGGGGCTCTGCCTCCCCTACTCCCTTTCCACTCACCATCCATGTAGTAAGGATGGTGCTGTCAGTTGTCACCTATTTGGGTCTCTGGGATAGCTCATTGAGGCTTGGCCATGTGTAAGTTTTCCCCGGGCTTATCCTGGTATCTGGTTCACCGCCAAATGCCTGTGATACAATGCAGAGTTTTTCCATGCTTCCTGTCAGTGCGGATAGCCAAAATGATACTATAAGTACTAGAGAAAGTCTCTTAAACTCAATCTTGGTCAGCTCCAACCACTTGGTTGGGTGTTGGGGCTGGGGTCTGGCAATATTCACCCACCAGCCCCCTCGGCCTCATTGCCTCACCTTTGAGTACAGTGAGTCCTCAAACTGGAAATAGAATGAAAAAAAGGAAAAAGAAAGGACATCTGTCTGGAGCACTCTTGTTTCCTGGGTGCTTCCAGCATCTAGGTGCCAACCCCACTCCAGCTTCCGTGGGGCTCAGCTCGCCCATGATCACCCTGGAGACCACTCTGCTTCTGGAGTGCTCTTGCCCTGCGGCCACTCTCCCCCCGTGCCTGGCCCTTGCTGGGCCTTTTAAACTTCCTGCGATGGCACCAGAGGCTGATGTCATCAGCCCGGCACTGCCAAACTTGATTGACAGCTGCTTTAAAAGCCAATGCAGCATTGGCTCACGTTGCTCCTGACCCGTCCCCGACTCTCTCCCCGGTAAGTACCCAAAGGCTCCCGGGCTTCTTTGACCTGGTCCTGGGGTGCCCAGCTGTGACCCCGGGGTCCCTGGCTCTAGTGTGCAGCTCCAGCCGCCATGATCATTAGTACATTTTTTCCTATAAGTCTGTGCTAATACTGACAGGTTTCTCAGCAGCACCTTTTATGGGTATTGTTGTCTCTTTGTGTGTAATGATATTGGCCTTTCTTTCCTATATAAATCTATAAACTCCATATTAGTACTTTAACCTGTGGAAATAGTCTTATATTAACTTTGTTAAGTGACTTATTTTGCAGTATAACCATTACTGTTACCTGTCAAGCAGTGATGTTCTGCACAATTTACAAAAGCTAGAGGACAAGCTCTGCCTTCTTAAAGAACTAACACTCCTAGTGAGCCTGACAGATGGTATCAATATACAGTAACTTAGTGGTTTTTTTCAGACTTTGACTCTACATTATATTGACTTTTTTAAATGTGTCAGTATTTCAGATGTCTGCTTTAGGGGAAATCAAATAATTTCTCTGCCAGTTCCCTAAGGGCACAATTTAAGAAAGAAAAACTGTCTTGCACTTAATGTGATGTGGAAGCAGGCTGAAATATCTCAATTCAGATTTTTTGAGTGATATTTTTTATTGGACCATCTACAGTACTTGATTCAGGTTCTTTAGATAGGCGAAAGTTCTACAAAGAAGATCTGTCAGTGTTAAAATGGTGTTAACTTAGACTGTGCACCTTCCTCCCACAAATTTATTTTTCTAAAAACGAAATGAAATTATATTTCACAAAACTGACTGAGAAATTAATTTGCACTACATGTGGATTTTTTTGATTCAGTGAACATACTGGGAGTGGGGAAATCACTCTGAACGAGAATGAAAAGTGATTTGTGTTTTTCACTGAAACATTCCTGTGCCCCAAATTGTTTTGGGTCAAAAAAATTATTTTGATTCTGTTTCAGGAATCTTGTACCGCTTTACTTTTTAAAGCGTATTTACTGAAGCAGGAGTTGAGATCCAAGTGCCCTGCTCTTACGTCTGTGCGCTGCACACCAAGTTATGGAGTTACAGTCATTCTTTTCCTCACTGGACCCAATTAAAAATTAAATATTTTTTATATTATAAAACTGCAACAGGAGAGATTGAGTGCAGATAACCCCCAAATAACTTATAGCCTGAGCATGCTTGAGAGATGAAAGATGTGAGTTCATATCTCTTCAGACAGGTCTCCAATAATTTGAATGAGTGCCCCCACTATTGGGCTGTTAGGTAAAGAAGGCACCTCCTGCCACCTCATTTATATTGTGAAAATAGTGTCTGTTAATTTTTTCCAGGTGCAACTATTTTGTTAATATAGATCAAATTTGTGAATATTTTTATTAACCAAAACAACATTTTCAGCTAGTTATTTCTGCCTTTTCCCCTCTTCCCCCCCAAAAAAAACTTTTACAGCTCTATTCATTATTTAAAATAAAATGTAGTGAAAAAAGGTTTGTTTGGGGGGTTTTTTCCCTCACTAAAATGTTCCTTTAGTGTTAAAATTTAGTATAGATGTTTCGGTTCTATGATGATAAGTAGAAATTATATATTTCTTGGACTTCCTCTTGGTAACTTGCCTGTATACTTTGTTATGTAGATCTGATGCTCGTCTTCATAGAGATGACATTGATATCTGCTTCAGCAAAACATTAAATTCCTGCAAAGTGCCCCAAATTCGTTATGCAAGTGTGGAGCGCCTTTTGGAGAGATTAACGGACTTGCGCTTTCTTAGTATTGATTTCCTGAATACTTTTCTGCATACTTACCGTATATTTACTACTGCAGCAGTTGTACTGGAGAAACTCTCAGATATATACAGAAGACCTTTCACCTCCATTCCAGTCAGGTAAACTCTATTTCTTCAGTTCTTTGAAGGCTGCCAGAAATGTCCTTTTTGCACTGTTCTGTAGTCTAGAAGAAAAACTTTTTCACAACCAATGACATTTTAAATAATTGTTTTCATTTTTCTGCTTTCACTTTCAGGACCAAGTGCGCACAGAGTACATACGTACATTTTTTTTACATTGCATAAATCTGTCTAGCACTTTCTGATATTATTTGTGCATTTTTCTTTTGTGCTCCCTAGGTCTTTGGAACTGTTTTTTGCTACAAACCAAAACAACAGAGGAGAACATCTGGTTGATGGAAAGTCGCCACATCTTTGTCGCAAATTTTCTTCTCCTCCACCACTATCACTCTCAAGAACTTCTTCCCCTGTCAGAACCAGAAAACTCTCATTGACTTCACCACTGAACTCTAGAATAGGGGCTTTAGATCTCTCTACTTCCTCCATTGCAAGCAGTCCTACCTCAACATACAGCCCAGCCACATCCCCACCACCCACTGCTAGCAAAGTACCACTGGACCTCAGCAAGGGGCCTTCTTCCCCAGAACAGAGTCCAGGATCTATAGAAGAGAATTTAGATAATCCTCGCATTGATCTTTGTAACAAGCTGAGAAGAAGCATTCGGAGAGGTATTATATAACTGCAGCATATTGAGCATTGGCAAATGCAGTAATCAGTATGAAGTCCATGTTTAACAGATTACTAAACTTTGGTATTGTAGGTATTTCAGTCATTTCCCATTGCTTAGTAAACAGTTGGTTTTTTGAGAAGCAATTTTTCAGTATTTAAGAGCTCACATTCCTGTCTTTGTTATTGCTGGGACTGCTAACATTGCCACTGTTCTGCTGCTTTCACTTCTCATTTCATATCAGCACGGCAGAATAACAGCCTGAGTTCAACCTTGAAAGAACAGAGATGAGGGGAATAGACTGGGAGAAGGATTATGAACTTTTCTGTGTATCAAGAAAACAGAAATTAGTTAATTATATCTCCATTATATCTTCTCAAAGTAAAATATTAGGTGCCTAAATGTGAGTCTGTCCCATGCTGCTAAAGTCTCTGGAAAAAAACCATGAATGTATTTACTTCTGTAACACACAGTCAACTTAGCCTTCAGACTAAATCACAAAAAACAGCAAGCAGAAAAATGACTCATCCCCCTTCTTTATTAATGACTTTTAGGGACTCATGCAGGGTGGAATAAGGCTACTCAGGTGCCTAACAGGTAGAGTAGAATCTATGTGCTCGGTAGCAGGAGGCTTGGTGCTCCTGCTCCTTAAGAGCAGGTAGGCTGCGGGTGTGGCAAGGGGCAATTAGGAACCACGGCTGCTTGCACATGACAGGGGATTTAGTTCTCCCTAAACTGAAATGGTGGGTTTTTAATTGTGTCTGTTAAAAACCCACTGTTTCAATTTAGGGACTTCCATCACTGTGACAGAACAGTGATGGTCCACTGTCAGCTTGCACCCCTCCCCCCTCCCCCCACCACTGCTGCAGACAGGCTCCACCAGAGGGGAAAAAATAAGTGACAAGGGGCTTGATCTGGGGAGTGAGCTGCCAGTGGGCCCTGAGCTGGGGGAGGGCATGCTCCTTTCCTCTGCAGCAGCGGCGTTCCCTTGGGTGGCACCTGCCCACTAGCACCCCGCTAGGCAGTCCCAGGGTGTGCTGCCACTATAGAGAGAAGGACCGGGTCCCGTGCAGCTCAAGGGCTGCATGACCGAGTGGCGGTATGCACGGACAGGCAGGCTTTGCTGAGAAAAAAAAAGAAAAAGTTGGCAAGGGGCATGATACTTTTTTTTTTTCTCCCAGAGCCTGCCCATGTCTTCTGCAGCTGGGGGGGCGAACTGCTGGCAAGCCAAGCAGCCCCTGAGTTGAAGGGGGCCCCGATCCTTCCTTCCGTGCTGGTGGCCCCCCCCCCGGGACTGCCTGTGCAGGCTGCTAGTGGGGGGGGGTATGCCACCAGGGAGGCACTGCCACTGTGGAGGGAAGGTCTGAGCCCCCACAACTCAGGGCCTGCCAGCTGCCCACCCCCTAGCCATGGGAGAGGTGGATAGGCTCCACCAGAAAAAAAATAAAGGGGCCTCTTGCTGTTTTTTTTTTTTCCAGCGGAGCCTGCTTGTGAGAACTGCCACCCTGTCACACGCCCCCTGAGCTGCGGGGCAGCCTGGTGCTTCCCTCTGCAGCAGCAGTGTCCCTCGAGGGCTGCCTGAGTGGGGTGCTAGCAGGCAGGTGTTGCCTCAACTAGCAGGCAGCACCCAGCCCAATCCAACAGTGTATAGGGTGCTGGAAGCCCAGGCTTGCTCAGGGAAGCTCGGGCTTGGCACGCTTCCAGTGCCCTGTGCATCATCCCTGCTGCCTGGGATCACCAGCAACAGCCTGGCTAGCCCCTGGAGCAGTGCATGAAGGTGGCATGAGGGTGGCTGGGTGTGCTGGTGGCTGGAGAAGGTGGCAGGGATGGTGCAAGGGGCGTTGGAAGCCTGCCAAGCCCAAACTTACCTGAGCATGCGTGGGCTTCCAGTGCCACGTGCACTGTTCCTGCTGCCTTCTCTGGATGTATCACTGCAATTTGTTACATAGCAAACTAAAATACATTGGATGTGTTTTACTTTGCTATGTAACAAAGTTGTTTAAAGCAGAATACATCACTGCTCATGTACAGCGTGACAAAATTAAAACAAAAAACACCACTACAGGTGTAAATGGTGATGCCATTAAAGTGGTGCAAAAGGACAATTAAGCCTCTTTAAAGGCCAATTTCAACACGTAGATGTGCCCCACATGATTAGGGACCTACTGAATTCACAGCAGAACTGGGTTGCGTAGTAGCTTCTTTAAGCTTGCAGGTTCCCCCACTCACCCTCCCCACCCCCATTGTTGATTGGCTGAAGGGCCCTGGTGGCCCTTTTGGTTGCTGCTGACTGGCCAGGAGACAAAAACAGTGCAAAATTTAAAACCATAGGTTTTGTCTCCTTGGTGATCAAGAATGAGCAGCGGGGCCCCTCCACCAATCGGTATGGGGGGGAACGTGGGGGAACCTGCAAGATTAAAGGAACTGCTGTGCAGCCCACTTCAGCTGTGAATTTGGTAGGTTCCCACACATGACCTAAAGGGGCTGGGCTAATAGGATATAAGCCCAGGGCTTGAGCTGAGCGGGTAGTCTAGCCCTGAGAGCTGTGGAAGGAAGAGCTCCTAAGCACCATTGCTGCAGCAAGGCTCCTGATTAACACCTGAGCTGGGGTAGGCAAGACTGGTGGTTTAGGGATTGAGACCATAGGAATGGTCTCAACTGTAGGAGGTCTCAACTGACCCAGGAGAAGGGTCAGAGCCCAAGGGATAGGGGCTAAAGTTGGGGGCCACAGCCAGAGAGGGGTGAGAGCAGGGTCAAGGACCTATAGTCCAGGAGGGGCAAGAACCAGGATCAGGAAGCCCATAGCCTGTGAGGGCTCAAGAGGCCTAGGAACAGGCCCAGAGCCCAGGAAGGGCCAAAGGTTGAGGAAGGCCTAAGCTGGGGACTGCCAGGGCCAAGGATCCTGGAGATCTCAAATGGCTTAGGAGCAGGGCCAGGGGCCAGAGTCCAGGCAGAGGGATCAAAGGCTGAGGAGGGCCACAGCTGGAGAAGGGTGGAAACAGAGCCTGGGGTTCAGTGCCTACAGGAAGCAGAAACAGGGTCAGGGACCCCAAGCCATGCCTGGGAGAAGCCGGGATGGGCAAAATGCCCAGGTGTGGGTGGAAAAAGACAGGGGTCTGAGCCCAGGATGGGCAGTGAATGGAGCCCTGATCTTGAGTGACCACCTTTTCAAAAAGCAAAGGCAGAACACATGCCTGCCTGGCCCCTACCCCCTGTGGGCAGCAGAGCTGGAGCAGAGTTGAGCAGAGCCCATGCAGGGTCAGAGGAGGATGTGGGCTGCCCACTGCAGAGCTCAGTGCCCTCTACCTTGCTACCCTGCTTCCAGGGCCTCTGCGGGACCTGGTGTGGGAGGGTGGAGAGGCTCAGTGCTGCCACCACCGCTGGAAGCCCCACACCAGCTGCGCTGCCATAGCAAGGCACCCCCTGCCCTCCTGCAGTAGTGGGAGCAGTAGCAGCAGCGTGGAGTTGTGCACCCCCACAGCTGCTGGGTGGGCAGGGGGTGCCTTGCCATGGTACTGCAGCAGCATGGGGCTCCAAGTGGTGGTGGCAGCACTGAACCTCTCCTCCCTCCCACGCTGGGTCCCATGATCACCTCCTAGCAAAACTGGCCAACTGTGACCTCGGCTTTACCATGATCCGCTGGCTAGGGAATTGGCTCCATGGTCGGACCCAGAGGATGGTGGTTGACGGAAGTCAATCGTCATGACG